ACTTGCAAAGGTAAAGTTAGTTTTCTCCAATAAAGTCTCATTGGATATACAGCAACAGTAAAGGGCAGGCCCCACCACAGCAGTATATTGCAAACACAAAATAAACTCTGTGGGTTTTTTGTTTTGTTTTGTTTTTAGATTTTATTTTATATATTTGGGCAGTTTTTCTTTTAACCTTACTGATCTCTTGCTGATAAATTTGGCTTCTGAATTTTTTTTTTCTGATTTCGTTTTATGGGTTTTCTGAGCCTGAGCATCTCTATGTGTATGCACTTCTGTGTTCTGTTTTTATTCCTTTTTCTCTGTTTGCTTTGCTCTATTCTGGTTTGTATGTTTTCTAAAAATAGAAACAATGAAGGTGTGGAGTTAGATGGGTCACAGTGTAGAGGGGAGGATGTGAGAGGAGATGAAGGAAGGGGAACTGATCAGAATATATTGTATGAAAAGAAAAATTATTGAAAAGAAGCAACCAGCTCCCTGCCCAAGAATCATCATGAGCTCACTACAACCACGGTGCCTGTCTTGCACTACCGTCCATTGCTCATGTGGGTGTTCCCCTAGGCTCTCAGTGGAGATCCCTTTAGGATCTGATTTGGCAGTAAGGGAAAACAAACACAGTCTGAGGCCCATGCTGCTGGCTCTGAGTGTGAAACCCTTCATCTGACATAGGAGTCTTGAGTTTTCTGGTTGTGTCCAGGAAACAGTAATAGGGTAATTTATAAACTTGAAAGTTCTAAGCATGAAAGGATTCCTAACTCAATGTCAAAAATAATGTGTATTTTAGCTTCCTTTTAAAATAATAAAAAACATTACTGTAACATTTTAAAAGTGGGTTTTCACCTAATCTTTCATAAAATATTCTTATTATTGTCTAAAGTTTTATTTCCATGTTTCTAATGTTAGTATTTTGGCATCTGTACTGGCCTGTCCTTGGGGTTTAACAGGACACGCCCTCAGCTGCAGCCACTAAGAGCACCACCTGTGCATATTCACTATGTTTCCTTTTAAAAGGCCCTGCCCACCTCCAATCCTTCTCTCTCTTTCTCTGTCTCCCTGTGACACCTTTTCTTTTCTCTCCCCCCTTTTTTCTCTCCTGCTGCTCCCATCCCTGGAGGCCAGTCTCCCCACTCCACTTTCTGTGATTAAAAACCTCCTTTGCTTGAACCCTGTCACGAGGCATCTTTGTCTCTGCACCACTCTTTTTAAATTACAACAACTATGCTGGGAAAAGGGACACCAGCATAGGACTGTTCCAGACCCCCTGAACAAGGTAGTCAGTTTAGAGGGCTGGACAATCTATGGGGACACTGGAAGTGGATCAGTATTTTCCCCTAGTACACAAACGGACTTTGGGAGCCCTCTCCACTTAGAGAGATACTCTCTCAGCCTAGACATACTTGGGAGGGTCTAGGCCCTGCTCCAAATGATATGACAGACTTTGAAGATTCCCCCATGGAAGGCCTCATCCTCCCTGGGGAGCAGAAAGGGGCTGGGATAGGCGGTCAGTGGAGGGTTGAGGAGGAGGAGTGGGAGAGGGAACTGGGATTGACATGTAAAAGAAGCTTGTTTCTAATTTAAAGAAAAAAGAAAAAAATTACAACAATTAATCCTTCCCAAATTGGCATACATTTATTATTTATAAAGTTGGTGGTTTTAATGAGTCATTGTATTTAAGAGTTACAACAGTACTAGTACACAATACATGTATACCATATTCATATTATGCTTTAACAATGTTTTGTTTACTGGCTTTGTTTTCCACTTCTTAAATCACTTAGAATTCAGCTTTTTATTTTATTAAAACAAAGCTAAATATCTTTCCTTTGATGTTTTCCTAGTAACACCTACATTCATTATCATATCATATTTACCTATATGTTTAAGGGTTTGATAAGACTACATGTATAATTTCATTCAAATTAGGCTACAGGTTTTCTATAGACTATAGAATATCTGTAACTTTGGAGAATGTAATTTTACTTTTAGTTGTGAGTATACATTAGCCAATTTAAGTGAATTTTTGAAAATTACCCCTTGTTTCAATCTCAATTTTTAGTCACTAGAAGTTTTTTTCCTTTCTGAAGCAGAATACCACCGCTAATGTAGCTCTCATTTCCTTTATAATTTCTACAGTTCTAACCATAAGACTTAATCTAGGATTATCTCTCAAATTTATAATGTAAGGCAAGACAGTCATATAAAATTTATATCACTGAAATTTAATAAAATGAATACTTAATATGTGCACTGGTTAGTTGGCTTCCAGGGGGTTTCTTTTTGTTTTGTTTTCTGTTTCTTACTCAGTGATTATAGCTGTCTTTGTACTGTTTGAATCCCATGTATTCTTTTTAGCCTTTACTGAGTAAGTTTCAGATTTGAAAGCTGTTTCTCTCCAAATCTAGTAGCACCTGCCACTGGTAATGGATGATACCATGGGCTTTCTGAAGCCAATAAAAAGAGCGATAGAATTGGAGAACATGAACTGTTTCACTCTCCCTGGGGAGCAGAAATGGTATTGGATAAGGTAGGGTGTTAGTGGGAGGTAGGGGTGAAGGGGAGGGAGAGGGAACAGGGATTGACATGTAAAACAATCTTGTTTCTAATTTAAGTAAAGATTAAAAATAAATGATAAATAAATATTGTAACATTTGAAATGACAGTAATTTTTTAATTTTTTTAATTTTTTTAAAATAAATGATAAATAAATATTGTAACATTTGAAATGACAGTAATTTTTTTATTTTTTTTATTTTTTAATTTTTTTTTGCTGCAAACTGCACGAGGCTTTATTGTAGTTTAACGAGCTAACCCCATGTTAGCTCGGGTCTTTCACCCACCCGCCATGGCGGATGGCTAGCAAAGACAGATCGAACCAGCTGCAGAGAGATCTTGTAGGGCAGCATAAGGGGAGAATCTAGAGGTATGCACAGGCTCAGGATTGGTGTGCCTCCAGGCTTGGAGGGCTTGCTCTGTGTTGATTGGCCAATTGGTTGTTATAGCCCATAGGCCCTCCCAGGGTGGTTGCTATGTTCTGCGCGTCATTGCTGTGCACTTGTCCGTAAAGCACACCCAGAGCCGTAAAGCATAGCACCACCATCTAACTTCTGATTGGTTCCTTGCCACAAGGCAGGCATCTGACCGATTAGTGACCAAAGCAAGGTCATGGCGAGCATGTGTTACTGTCATGGCTGCCGAAATGGGGAGATGGTCCCTTCATTCCCCCCTTTTTTCGTTTTTGAAATTTGAATCATGGAATTGCTGTCTCTCTAGCGCCCCCATCAGGGAGTGAGAGATACTGGCATCCCCATGCAAGGGACTTCCTTCTGAGTTAGCATTTTAACAAGGGAAAATGGGTGGCGAATTCTTTCCCAACTACTTCCTGCTGACTTTGGGATGAAGTTAGGGACCCCAGAAGGTTGAAATGCTAGAAAAAAGCAAAAAGAGGAATTTAGGCAATGGGGAATCCATCAGGGGCTGTTGGCAGACTCTGTTGCAGAGATAGGGGGTGTCCACATCAGCTGAACTGGTTCACAGAAATGATAGTAATTTTAAACTATACTTAATCCTCCCAAAATAACCACTATATACTTCTTTAGCCTAAGGTAATCAACTGTTTCTATGTATATATTCACATATACTTCATTTTATAAAATAATACCATACCACATTATAAAGCCTTTTTCCTATTTTAGCAATATACAGCCTCAAAATTATATCCCCTTACCAATAACTTTTCAATAGAACAAATCTCTGAAAACATAATTACTTGCTGAAAAACCATGCTTTATCAATTTAAGTATTAAATGAGACTTTCAGATTATTAAATTAAGTTATAAAATAAAATGAGCCCCTATATTGCTATTATTTAAATGCCCTTGGCAAATGTAACATGTTATTAATTTGTTTTTTTTTAACTTTTGTTTTATTTTATTTATATGCAATGTGGTGATGTTTTGATAGATGTTTATCCCCTGGACTTTTAAAAGAAGAATTATTAAATGTCAAAATGAAAATGAGGAACTGGCTAAGCCACATCCTAATTAACTCTTGAATGTTACCTTTGAATTTTACTTGATTTGTACTACAGAGTAACTAACAGAAAACCAAAATCTGGTAAAGCTTCCAAGGTAATATACCAAGCTAAACACCAAAATATTCAGGATGAAATGTCTAATTTGTCAAAATTTAGCCAAAAAATCATAAAGTCAAGGTGAGAGCCCTCCAGAGCGCAATTTAGTAAAACACCTTTCTAGTAAGCGGACCACACTCCTCCACACTTGAGGGTATTTGGAGGCTACAAACTGCCTTGATGATTTACAGAGGAGAGAGAGGAAGAGGAAGAGGAAGTGATCAACTGCAAGGCTGGCTACAGGTGTGCCCGACCACACCCATCAGGGTGTAGTCAGGGTGATGTCAGGATGACATGGTAAAGATTTAAAGAGATAGAGAACATTCATGGTAGTTCTCTTTTCCCTGTTGCTTCGACTTGCTCTGCTTTCCTGCCGGCTGGCTAGGTGCACTGTAAGTAACACATATTTCCCTAATAAATATACCAGAACCCTATCTGCTTACGTATTGGTGAATCACACATCAAGTTGGATAGGTAGGGGGGGAGGGAGGGAGAGAGGGAGGGAGGGAGAGAGAGAGAGAGAGAGAGAGAGAGAGAGAGAGAGATGCATTTGGTAGGAGATGGGAGAGGGAGTTAAAATGTCCAAAATGCATTGCATGAAAAGGATTCATAAAAATATAGTTTAATCCAATCTTCAATGGGTTTTAAACAACAAATTGTTAATGGTAACTATGCCAAGGGAAATGAGACTCTATCTTCTTTTAATGAGGACATGGAAAGTAAGTGCACAGACAAAAAGCTATAGTTAGTTTCAGCAACCTGTCAGTCATCTTATGACCAGCAACGATGTAAGTGCTATCTTTTATTTTGACATCTCTGCTTGACTTCATCACTGTCACCTCCTGCTCTGCTATACACCAGGTGTACTCACATCAGGAATGAAGCCAATCTCGTTGAGATGATTACTCAGCTCTGGATCGTGGAACGCAATCATCTGAGAGAACACAGTCAGGTACTCTGAAAGGACAACAATGCCGAAGACCATCACTGTCTTCACCAGCTACCTCAAAGACCTAAGTAAGGGAGCTTATGCTAACTGTTCCCCAAGGCAAGGGTACTTTACGGTATTATTCTCCATTCTGTTACTACTTCAATCACAGTGCTAAGCATTAAGGAGACACACCAATAAACTATGCCACCATTTACTTTCAGAGCTTTGTTATTTCTTGAGCTGCAAATTAAACACAGGATGACTGGTAATTTCCAACCAAATTGTACAAATACATTTTCTCTGGCAACAGTAAATCTGTTTCTCATTGATTGAATTTGTTCAGAAGACAGAAAGGATCTGGAAGTAAAGAACAGTGAAAGACAAGCAGTCACGGGAAAGTAACTGTACCCCAAACTGGTTTTTATATATGAATTTCAACATCTTTTCTAGCTGTGAATTTTTTCCTACCTATAGTTCTATGTTTGGCATATGTATAAATATGAACTTAATTAACTATAGCTAATGCAATGTAGGTAAACAGTAGGCAATTGAAAATATTTTTGTTGTGCCAGAGAGAGAGAGCTTGGTGGGTAAAAAGATGTTTCAGTTAGAGACCCTGTCTCAAAAGATAAGGTAGAGAGTGATTCAGGAAGACATCTACCTTCACCTTCCGGCATCCACAGGACGTACATGGGTTAGCATACCTGCATGCACATGTGCGCACACCACACAAACACACACTAGAGGGTCAAAGGTCCTTAACTTGCGCACACAGATAAGCCTGGAGATGCTACAAAAGCTAAACACTTAGGCTTATCTCTTCAAAGGAAGGAGATATTTACCCGTCTTCTTCCCTGAACACTGGGAGAGGTAGTTTACAACCTAGTGATCCTTTACTATCTGTAGGGCCATGTTTCACCCTAATCCCCCAGAATATTATGTTTGTTTATACCAGACTTTCCCCACTAAATTTTGAGCATTGTCCATAAGACCATCCTTATGAGAGATGTCACTTGTGCTTCACAACAGCCTAAGTGACTTCTGTGTTATCACAGGCCAGGCCAATCCTGACTCCCACAGGCATCATCTTCCCTCACTCATTTTCCCTAGACCCGATCTTGAGCACTGTTTCTGAGTCAACAGAAACCGTCTTTAGGGAAGAAGCCAGATGTACTTTGTAAAGAGTTCTAAAGTAAACATGTCTTCAACTCTGTTGTACACATAGGACTGAGTTAGTAGCTGTCATCAGAAAATTTTTTCTTTTTATTTTTTATTTTTGTCAAAAATTGTGCTGTGCTTAAACACGGCTAAAATAAATGACGTGGTGTTCGACTTCTTAAGTTTGAACCAGTACAGACTTCTTAAGTTTGAACCAGTAATGGCTGACGGCTGACTAAGTTGAGCTGAACTGAGTTTCATTCTTCTCTCTGTGGATAGTTTTGCTGCTGGCAGTTGAGAAGGCATGGAGCATCCCCCCGCCTCCACCACACACACACACACACACACACACACACACACACACACACGTATATTTTATTTATTTTTAATCCTATTACAAATTGTCTGAAGAATATATTCACACTTTCCCTATTGTTTCAACAGGTTATTATTTTCAACAATTTATTCATGCCATGCTAATGGACCTAAATAAGATTGTGGTAGCATGTGCTCCAGATATTAAAGTCTGTAATCTAAATGCTTTGGGAGCAGAGGGAAGATGACTGTGAAATCTAAGACATCCTGTGCTGCAGGCAAAAGAAGGAGAATGCAGCAAGACAAGTGAGCTCAATTTCTTTTTGACATTGAAATCACAATAACTTAATAAAAATGAAAAACCTTTGATAATTTCAATTTTCTCCAACAACATAACTGATTTTTAAAAATGAATTATTTGGTGAAATAATCTCTAAAAATGATGTTTCCTTGCTTTACTAGTTTATACAAGCACTGTGTTATTTCAAGAAATAGTAATAAGTAAAAGTTACATATTATTTTTCTTAACTAAAACTGTTCCTAATACTTGCTTATAAATACTGTATGTGTTTTTAATAGGCAGTACCAAATCAAGCAAAGGAAATGTCAATGCATGCTCAATTTAATGATATAACTGAATCACATCACTGACCTAATGTGAGCACTGCCTACTCATTCTAGCTAAAGAATAGGATGCTCAATTAACACGTTTCTTGATTTACTGTACATTCTAATACTACCCCATTTTTCCTCTCTCAGAACAAAATGGCATAATTTCAATTAGTTTCTAAAGTTACAAATCAAATTGAAAATCTAGGACATGTTTGAAGGCACTAGGAGACATTTAACTTTTTTTATAACTGCTTTCCTGCCTTCCCTTATGGTATATCTATAATGTCAACTTGCCCAGAAGCTATAAGTGTGCATCATCAGTCCCCATAAGTACTCGATTGTATATTGATAAGCTGTAGTTATTAACTTTTAGCTTCTAAAAAGCATGTCTCAATTTAAAGCAGAATTCATGCCTCGGGCAATTCTCCACAGCTATGTATGGTTGTTAAACATCATGCCTACTTAAGTCTGATAAACTTACACAGCTAATTAAGGATTTACTGAAGAAATCTCACCCATATTTTCCTGGTGTTCTGCCAAACACCAACGACTAGATTTATATCAGCATGCACATACTCACATACACAGATATACAAATACACCATTCATATATTATTATATTGAATGCAACTTTACATAGGTAAATATAAGTTATAAAGTTGGCAAAGTATAGGCTATAGAGAACAGCTTTGAAATGAAGCTCAGTGTGAGTTCTTTATTTCAAGAGGAATATGAGAGAACACGTATAAACGTATGTTTAAACATATCACATTACATGTTCTGTCCTAATAGAATTTAAAATTCCCCAAAGTAACAAAAAGTCCAATTGCAGGTATCCTTTGATTTGATTTGAGAGGGAAAATAATGGTAGTTACAAAGAAATAGAACAGTGGCTAGATTAAAACAGAAGATTCTACACATTTAACACTATTGATTCTTTTTAAAGATATGTATTTTAATGTGTATGAGTACTTTGCATGCATGCATGTCTGTATAGCATACTCATGCAAAGGAGGCAAGAAGAGGGCACTGGTTCCTCTGGAGCTGGAGTTAGGCAGTTATGAGCTGTCATGTGGGTGCTGGGAGTTGAACCCAGGTCTTCTGGAAGAACAGTACTCTTAACTATTGAGCCATCTCTCTAGTCCCTACTAACCCATTTAAAGGGACATTAAAATGCTAAAGAACTATGATTATGATTTACAAAATGATAATAATATGAATCATGGTTCTTAAAATAGTCTCAAAGATAGTATTTTCTAAAGGTGAATATTACTCAGTTTTTAAAAATGAAGAGAATTATACAATCATCCATACAACCTCAAGTGCAGTTTCTAGACTAGTCTATAAAACCACATATAAACTTCCTGTATTTTAATAAGAAACCTTGTATTTTCAGATTTTGAAATGAGGTATACAATGATAATGAATTGTGCTTTCTAATTTCTGTGTATTAAAATTTATTGTCCTCTTTTACTTATATAGTCTGCAATTACAATCCTCAATGAAACTGATGTAAGAATTTCACCTGATAATATCATAATTTTTATGGCCATTTATAAATAAGCCATATTTTGTTTTTTTAAAACAGTGCATGGAGTACATGAGAGATGAACTTTCCAAATCTCCACATTAAATATCCTCCTTGGTTTCCTCTCTGCCCAGCTTCTTAGCATTGACTCTCTTAGCTGGGGAAAGCAGAGGTGAAGGACACAAAGGACAGATTCAAAGTGAATGTTTGTGTCTGCTTGCTATTCAGAAAGGACACTCAACCTTTTGAGTGCCAATTTATCCTAAAGATGATGGCAGCATCAGCGGGCAGAGACGCTGCCAGTGGTCATATATGCTTCCAACTCCAGCATGCCAGCAGCAAGAGGAACAAAGCCTGCTTGAGCTACAAACCAAGTTTCAGACTTGCCAGCCTACACATTCAAAACCCAAACCAAACAAACAAAACAGATACAAGGTATGGGATCCCAGCACTCAAGAAGCAATGGATAAAGTTATTTCCACTAACAAGGTGGCAATAAAGGCTTGACCTCCTTACTAAAGCCAAAGAATAAGCACAAATCTTTAAAACTAAATGGGAAGAGGGGGATCAAAAGAGGAGAAAGAGAAAAATGATTTTTAAAATGTTGTGGTGTTGGGAATTGAACAAGGGCCTCACACATGCTAGGCAAGCACTCTACGACTAAGTTATCTCCTCAGCCCATGGAAAGTGACCTTGATTTAGGGTAATATCTGTGAACCATTTTTAAAAATAGCAAGCAAGCTTAATTAGTAGCCTTTCTAGTTAAAACAGAACATTTTCAATATTGGAAAAAAAAAAACTTAGTCATGTGATACAAGACATTCTTGCCAGACTCAACACTTCATACATTTCTCCAAATATCCCACCATTAAAACAAAATATCATGGATGTTCATTAAACTGGCTTTTCTAAATCAGGACTGTCAAAGTGACTTGACACTCCCCAGCACACCTAGTGCATGGGAGAAAGGACACTTTCTTACATCACTTTTGACAGTTACAGTTTTTATGTCTTTCATCCTCTCTTTCTCTATATCAAGGACTTGTTGAATGTCTGTGTGATGGGATCATACATCCTAGTTTGCACTGGTTTGGCACACAGCATCTGGAGTAGTTACTGCCATATTTAGCTTTCAAAAATACCCTAATTTAGTCATCTACTAACCTAAAGCAACATAGTACTGCTATAAATGACAGGAACACCACTGTGAAAATAGTATTTCCCTTTCCCTTAAAGGACTTGGAAAAATATATATCTAAACAGAAAACTAGGGAAATGTTATATCCCAGACTTAGATGGCATGTATCTTTTCCATTCTGACTTTTAACATCCTTATCTTTAAGGTGTGAGTACACCTCAATCTTATAAAACAATTAAAAAATGCTTAATGTGTCAATTTCATTGGCTAACATATGCCCATACTATAAGCTATAAAGGACTCCTCCAAAATAGCTTGATTTCATTTTATTTGTTAGAGACAAAGAGAAAACTCCATATTCTTAAACTAAAATGCCTGCATCTAAACTGAACTGAGAGCAGATATTTGTCATTAAGATAGTCATAGAAAAGGACTAGAATTCTTTGTGAATTTGTAGGAAAAAAAAAATCCTCATTTTTCTTCCTAGGTTTTGGTGATCAACCATCACATATGCTACTGGGTCAAAACTATTATTTTGACGATTGGTTATTTTTGATAAAAATGTGCTCCTATGTGAAGACAAGACTGATTTGCTATTTTCATAGAAATGTATCCTACACGAAGACAGGAAAAGTCATTTGCTTACCTTGTATTACATGTGAGTTGTCTTTCAAGAAGAAGTTATACAGGTACTTGGGAATAAAAGCAGACATGCATGCATAAGCTAAGGCTAAGAAAGAATAAAGCAAATACAAAGTCAGTTAATAGGGTCATGGCCAGCTGTTATTCACCCAGCACAAATTTTTTGAGTCTATTATTAAACAACAAATATGGTAATACGTGCTAGAAAAACAAAATTATAGGGAGAAAAGCTTCTGCTATTTAAAACATTGAGACAATAAAAGATAAGCATTCCAGTAACTTCAATTTCAAACTGCTGTAGCAATCATTATACCACAAAGGAAAATTTTAATTGCTTAAAGTTCATTTATTTTAATTTCTAAGCACTCATTCAGTAACGAACCTCAGAATCCTTAATTAATACTAATGCAAGTAAGATTCCTGGAGTTAGGAATACTAGTCATAACCTGTACTTTCCAATACAGATCTTTTATCATTCTTGGATCAGCGTCTAATGATTGGATATACCTAAGAAAACACAGTGAAAGCTGAAGTCCACACTAATGACTGAGTACATCAGAACTGTGTACTGTTAAATCACTCAGAGAGAAAAACATAAGTTTTTGCAGATTATGCCATCTCAATTCAGAATTTTCTGTTGCTTATGATATGACAACATATGAAAAATGGAGATTCTGAGGTGAGATGCATATATATTAAAGTAATATAGAATAGCATATTCCATGTGTGATGTAATTCAGAATTCTAAATTTGATTCTACTGAATCCACTGAATACTATTCTAAAAATCTACTACAAAAGGTCCTAAAACAGAGGGACAGAAAATAAAAACCTGCCATTAACAAAAAGACGATCAAACAAAGTTTGGCAGTACTAGCATGAATGAGAAGAAAGCTGGCAGCACTAGCATACGGGTACCAGTCTATGAGAAGAAAGCTGGCAGCACTAACATACGGGCACCAGTCTATAAGAAAGCTGGCAGCACTAACATATGGGTACCAGTCTATGAGAACGAAGCTGGCAGCACTAGCATACGGGCACCAGTCTATGAGAAGAATGCAGATGGTATTGGCCTAGTTCAGAAAGGGAACTAAGAGGTCTTCATTAAACAAGCACAACTGATAGAACATGTGCAGGACACATAATGAGAGAGAGACCTTGCCAATATTGATTAGTTTATAAGTTATTTGGAAAGTATTTTCAGTAGTAGTTTCTAGAAAAGTCAGAATCTTCTCCCAACATCCATAAAAATGGTTACCAAAGCAGGCAAATTAATTTAGAAGAATTAGCACAATTTCCACCAGACTTTTAGACATGGCCTGATGTCAAGGCATACTTGACTTCAATACTAAATTATTTTCACTTTCCAAGAGAAATTAACATTATTTCACAATATTTTATGATACATACAAGTAGAAGAATTTTAAGACAAGAACTTCTATTTTTGAGTCTATTTAAGAATAATATATATAACGATCTCTGACTGATTAAAAAAAAAAGCTTACCTTCATTGTTGAAATTCAGATATAGAAATGGAGCGCAAAGTGAGTCAAGACCTGATGTAGAGGAGTTGAAGCAAAAGAGTAAAATGAATACATTCCAGTAGAACTGTAGATACTCTCTCTATTCTTTAATTCCTCCCAAACATAGTAAACATTGTAAGTACATCTACATAGATGTGTGTTCCGCCAGTAGTTACTATACAGAATAAAAAAATAGTATCTGACATATCAGTGTTCAAAACAAGTCAGTTATTATTAATCATCTATATGACTATGAGGCAAAGAGCAACAGTGACACATAAATATGTTAGAGGGCTTTACATCACAATTCTAACATAAACCAAACATGAATTGCATAATTATTTGGCCTCTTCCAGTATGTTTTCTTATTTAAGGGATGGACCTTTGCCATATAAACTCCTTTTCCTCAGAATTATGAAAAAAATCTCTATAATTAGTGAAAAATATACAAACATGTATTTATTTTATTGGTACTAATGCTATTCATCTGTTATCATGCTGGAAGAACACACAAAATATAACTGTAATGGATTCAGAGGATATAGAACATCTGTGAAATGTGTTGGGCAAAAAAAACCCCACACTTTTAAGAATGGCAAGAAAGCAATATGAAACTCAAAATCAAAAACCACTGCTCATAACAAAACACTGAAAGGGTTGGATTGAACAGGTTTCTCATTTATTAATTAATGATCATAAAGATAATAATAGAAAATGCTAAAAATCCAGGATTAGAGACATTAAAGATACTAGGGAGAAAAAGGAAACAAGTAAAATGAGCAATTTTAAGGTGATATTCCATTCCTAATAATTATGTATTAGGAATACTTAAATAGTAACATTCTCAAATAGCCTAACTTATACCTTTCATGGTATAAGTCATTTCACTACTTTGATAAGATTAAAATTGTTTCCACAAGATTAGACTGTTTTTCTAATGTCACTGCAAGATGCTTATCTTTAAATATCATGTAAAATGTTATCTTCAAAGCATTTAGACAAGTTTGTTTGATCATTTATGTAACAATAACATCTTCAAAATACACTGGAATTTTAGGGTTTTTTTTCCCCCCTCCAAATGAAAGACAAAACACTTGAAGAAAAGTCCCAATAACTAAAAAGTTACCTTGCCAGTACACAAGATCAGGATGAGAAACTACCCAAGCTTTCAGTACACGCCGGAACTTTGCATGACCTTCTGGGGATGATAACAGTTCATCATACTGATGACAGCGAGGAATATCCACTTCAATCTGTAACCAGCAAACATTAAGGCACTGTAACGGATGATCCCTACAGACTTCTAATCCTTGCTTCTTCAACACATGAGAAGAAATATGTTATAGAATATTTCACCTTTATAATCTCTTGATAAAAGTTTTTGAGTTTTTCAATTAGTCTTTGGAAACATCACACATTAGTTTCTGACCGAAAGTAGCTCCTTTACTAGCCCCACAGACATCAGGCAGTGGCAGAATATTGATGATGAAAGGAGGGGGATTTTCTCACTCCTTTTAGCATTTAAAGAACTGGCAGAATTGCTTTAGGAAAACCTTACTTGTCTATCTGTGGGGATTGGCGTGTCTTTGTCAATTGCATCATACTTGGCATGAATAGCTCCCTGCAAAAAATAAAATACGACATTAATTTATTATATTCTTAATAAAATGGCACTAAACATTAATATATTGGGATCTTAAGTATTTCAACTTCATAGTTTTTCTAATTTTGGAATATGTGCATAAAATTTACTGCTACAGTATCGCTTATCTAAAAAAAATCAAAATCCATTAGTTTTCAGCAAGATGTCAATACTCAAAGCTTTTAAATTTCAAATTCTTGTATTAGAGATGCTTAGCAGGAGAAACCTGTTTCATACGCATACTTATTTTTAAAGACCTACCCAACTATGGTAAACTCATTGTCTACATTTTTGACCATGTGTATGACTGCTGTCTATGGTAAGTGACATTTGCCATTTTGGTGAAGTAGACCTTTACCTGGTGTGTTGGTGCACACCTTTAACACTCAAGTGGTAGAAGCAGATAGATGTCATGGCAACAGACTGAAACCTTACCTCCAAAAGAAATAAGAACAACCACCAGAGGAGCCCCTTTGAATTATATATACCAAAAGGTAAATGACAAAAATCACTTAGCTAGAGAGCACACCAAAATGCTGTTTTCTATGCATTACTTACTAACTTACAAATCAAAATTTTCATAAAGAAGATAATATTTTAGAGCAAGATTTATCTTAACAGAGATTTTCTGTTAATGTTGGCAAGACAAATAAAATAATTTTTTCAAATAAAAGAATGATAGTACCTCGAATGTTTGGGGTAGGGTGGAAACCCTGTGGCTATAGAAACATTAGGCTTGTAAACATTTCTTAGTTACACAAAGAATATTTAAATATAGCAAATTTTGTTCATGTTCTATAGGATTATATATGAAAAAGTTCTTATTTTTATGACTTACTATAGTGGTAGGGAAAGCCAAGAATTTTTAAAATTATTTTCTGGATCAATTTCCTTGTGATATCTATTAATAATAGGCTTGGAAAGTATGACATAAGTCTTTCTGGACTACATTATCAATTATTAAATGAGGTAAGGAACAATAGGCAGTCTTGTGAAGTAACCAGGCAAATTCAAAATAATTTAGACTCTCATTAAGAAAATCAAGAATAAAGGAAAAAACTCTGCCAATAGAGGACTGTAAAGATTAAAAGTAGTTGAGGCTACACTATAGTGCAGGCTCATACCTAGGAGCAGTAGGCCAATATAAAAAGGACTCCAAGTTTTTGGCAATTGTTTTATCATTATTATTACTTTTTTGTGTTACTGACTTACATTGTGATCCTTTGATAGTCTGTTTTGAGGTGTATTTTTTTTTTTTTATTGAGACAGAAAGCATACTCTCAAGAATGAACAGAAAGTTGGGTGGGTAGGGAGGTGGGGAGGATCTGGGAGAAGATGGAGTAGGAGAAAGCACATGATAAAAAAATACATTATATGAAATAAACTTAAATAAAAATTAAAACTGTTTGAGGGAACTAAAGTGGTGACATGTATGTATGAGAGACTACAGGAAGACAGAGTGAAAAAGAAATTTCTAGGAAACGAAAGACTGTGGCAAGGATCCTTCACCATCATTGCATGTCATCAGACTTTCCTGGTAACACTGCCTGTTTCATGAGCAGCCCTGTGACACGTCCCTCCACCTCATGACCACAGATCAGGTGTAGAAGACAAAGTAGCTATTTTGCTGGCAGCTTGGTCTAAGTGGAACAGGTATGTTAAAAGTCACTAAATTACATTCATGATTTTGACAAGACACAATTGGAATAAAAGACTTATCAATTTAGAATAACTTACACATTGAAGTTATAGTCAAAAGGGGGCATACTTCATAAGCAGGATGGCACACTTATAACTAACAAATATTCATTAAATAACCTGATTAGAATAATAATGATATTTGCCATAGTCACTAATAAATAAAGCATTAAAGCATATCAATAATTATATTTTATACTCTATTTGCTTCACATATTTATTTACTTAAAATTGTCAAATATTCTGATATTAATATTTCAATATATAATTTCCTACTATTAGTATAAAATTAGATGGATAGTATAGTTTTTCTTTCTGAGACTGGATTCCTCCATGTATTCCATGCTGGTCTTGAACTCATAATCTGCTGCCATGGCTTCCCAAGCATTTGGAAGGTGAATATGAATCCCTATAGCAGCAGTACTATACATTTTATATTCTTATACATTACTTACCAATTTATAATCTTTTGCTTTCTTACCTCCACTCCCAGAAGAGCAGCCCAGGTTAAACCCCTCATAAGTGGAGGGATGTCAACTCTTGCTTCTTTCCAGATTTGATTTTTTTTATATGGATAAGCCTATGATAAGATAAAGATAGTCAAAAAGGGCCTGGATGGCAGCTGATCTGGGAAGTCCAAGCCTTCAGGGTCAGTGGTTCACCCTCTCTTTTGGTGAGGGGTGGGGCCATCTCTCCTGAGTGCAGGGACCAGTTCTCCTGTGAGAGTCAGGGCTAGCTCTCTTGCTGTAGCATCCAGTGAGAGGCAAGGCCAGCTTTTCCAGGGCCAGCAAAGGGTGAGGCTGGCTCAGCATGGCCTTCTGATTTCATCTTGCATGGTTCCTAAGGCCCTCTAAGGTGACAAAGGCCTTGAATTAGCCCACCCTAACATCCACCCCATCTGGGCCCTGCTGGAGTTCATTAAGGGACTGGTCCTGTGGAACAATACCCTCATGATCTGCAAGACTTGGGGCAGCCACAGGATATCCCAGAGGATATCTGGTGAGGATCCAGTGATGATGGTGTGCCAGAAACCAGAGGCCTTGAGCCAGACCAGTGCCTCACTGCAATGAACATTTTCTGTAAAACTGATAGGACAAAAAGGTATGCATACTAATGAAGCCTCCATTACCACCGGGATGAATGATGAGGTGATGGAGAGGCAGGAAAGAAGGAGCAAAGTTTTGTTGTTGCTTTCTGTTTCATTTTTAATTTTTTGTTCGCTTGCTTGCTTACTTTGTTTTGTTTTCTTTTGTGGGGAGGGGTGCTGCAGGGTTGAGGGGAGGATATGGGGGGACCAGGAGGTGAGCAGAATTAGGGTGCCTGATGTGAAACTCCCAACAAACCAATAAAGAAAGTAAATAAAAAAGTAAAATCATATCATGCATATTTATCAATCATAATACAATAAAACTAGAAATCAGTCAGCAGAAAAAGTTTGAAAATAACACAGACACACAGGAACTCAACAGCATGAAATTACCTCAAAAACTTAAAAGATAGACCTGTCTGACCATTACTAGCTACTTTCCTTGTCACTGAAAGAATGCCTCACAGAGACAACCCAAGAGAAGTGAGGTTTGTCTGGCCCATGGGTTGGGATGACGTTGTCCATCACAGCAAGAAAGGCATGTGGTGGTTTCAGTGCACAGAGGCTACTTGTTACTTGGCGCCAACAGGAAGCAAGAGGTGAGAACCAGAATACAGGTTTGTCCTATAGCTTATAGGACTTCCAAGGTCCTATAAACTTCCAAGGCTACTGCTAGTGCCCTTCAGGGAGGCTGCCTCTCTTACAGGTTCCACAACATCCTAAAACAGAGTGACCAAGTGTTCACAGACAGAAGCCTGTGAGGACACTTTACATTCAACTTGTAACACTTACTATGATCCACAAATTACAATTCTGAGTATGAATTCAAATGAAATGGAATCACAATGTCCAGGAGACAGCTGAACTGACATGTTTATTGAACTACCATGATTCGTAATATGCAACAAATAGAATTAACTTATGTCCATCAATGATAAGTAGATAGCGGAAACGCGGTACCTGTTGTAAATGGAGTATTATTCAGCTCTAAAACATGAAGTGCTATAATTTATAAGAGCATGAATAAAACAGGAAGATACTATGTTAAATCAAAGAAGTCAAGCACAGAAGACAAATACATATGATTTCACTCATACGTGAATTAGAAAAGAGAAACAATTAGAAAAGTTTCTTACAAATTCAAAGTAGAGAAGTTCAATGTAGCTACTTGAAGCTGGAGAAGATAGTGTTGAAGGAAGGACAGAAAAAGTTGCTCAGTGTGTACAGTTAGGTCAATGAAGTAAATACCAGTGTTCTATTGCACAGAAGAGTGACTATCTATACAGAATAATAGTACAATGTATCTTACAATAAAGTTACAAAATGATAACTATTTTGCCACAAATAAATGTTAATGTTTTAAGAAACAGGCAAGTATATTTTGACTTGAGAATTGTACTTTTCACAATGGAACCTCATAAATACATACAGCTATATATGTCATTTATACATCTGACATATATGCCTAAAAGGGAGTCAGAGAAATGCTTAGTAGCTAAAGGCACTTGCTGCACTGGCCTGATGACCTGAGTTTGATGCCTGGGATTCATATAAAGGCAAAAGGAGAGAACGGAATTCACAAAATTGGTTTCTACATGCATACTCTGATACAGGTGCTCACACATATATCATACACACATAATAAATAACATGTATCATATACATACAATAATGAATAAAAATAATAATTAAAAGGAAAATAGCATCAAGGCAAGAAACATAAAATGTTTCAAATTACCAAGTGTCATCATCTTCTAGTCTGGACACTTTATAATATATATTGGTGACAAGAGTTGAAGTGTCCTTTAATACATTAATAAGATTAATAACCACTAGGCCTTGTTTTATAAACAGATGAATTGATCCCTAACCATCTCCAGAAGTGGAGTAATGAGATTAAAAGAGGAGCTAATTCTCCCTGTTTTAATCATTTCTATCTGTTTTGTGCTCTGGGCAGATTGTAAGTGACTGAAAATGAGGGTTCTAGTGTTATATGATTAAAGAAGCAATGGATGCAAGAGCTGTGTAAAATTGTTGTGGTGCAGAAGGTGTGCACTAAGCAGAAGCTACCGTGACTTCTTGTATATCTAGCACATTGGTCCTTCTATAAATCTGTAATTTGAAGTGACTGCTAGAAGATAATTGTTAGGGCGCACAGGATATGTACATGTCTTAGGTACTCGATAAACACCTTAAAATTGCTTTGGAAAGTGTTTCCAATCTGCACTAAAAAGAGAAGCCCAGTCTTTACAAGCCCATGCTAGTCTTGTTAATGATGTGGAAGAATATCCCATTGTAATTGTCTATTGTCATTTCTTGTAAAGGTAAGTCAAGTATATTTGTTGCCTAATTGCATTTATTTTTTATACTTTATTCCTCTCTATCAATACTGGTACTTTTGCCTATAGACTTTTGTGCCTCATTTAAAAATTATGTTAATTCTTTATCTAAGATGATCTTTCACATATTGTCATCTTTGAAATGCCTATCAATTCTAGAAACTAAAGTTAATTAGAAGACAAATCATAAGAATTCTTTTCTCATAGTTTAAAGATGTACAACTTAACAGCATTAAAAGAAAACTCACATAGACTATCATTAACTTTTGAAATGCTACAATTCCTACCTTCAGTAGCCTGTCGAAGAGAACAATTCTGTTTAGTTGATATTCCGTATCCCTCTCTCTGATGATTAAAGGCAGGGTAGCAGCTGCAGATAATTCATTATTGCTGTTTGAATGAGGTAAATTCGACTGGCTATAAAGAACAAAAAATAAAAATACTGACCAAGACAATATTCTAATAAATTAAAGCACTACTTCCTAAATGTTCTATTTAAAATCTACAAACTTATTATTACTCTAATAGAAATTGGAAAAAGAATCAAATAAAGCAACATATACTCACTCATCTTCAAGTAATGGATAAAATGCTTCTCCTCCAACATCTTTTAATCTCTGTGAATTTAAAAATGAAATATTTATAAACCATTATATTTGGTGGCAATAGTAGTATCTACTTAAAAAGAATAGCAATGTAAAAATTATGGATTCACAAAAGTCCAAAGAAGTAAAAAATAGAATCTAAATATTAGTTTCTTTCATGAACATGCAAACACACCACACTTCTGACAAGGGTTAAGCGCAAGCAACAGCTTCCCTTTTCCCCTCTACAGGTGGCATTCCTACCATTTCCTCACATACAACACCAAATTACTAACATTAACATAAAATGTAAATATATAAAATATTTTAAAATGATTATTAAGATGAGGCACTTAATGTATTTACTTATTAAAGATTATTTAAAAAGAGGTTGCTTTCCCATATATTCAGTAAAGATATTTGCATGAATTATAGGCAGTGCAGTCATGATATCTGAAATATACTTTTTAAAGTTCTTAAATGAGAACTCATCAGAAATACTGAGGAAACACATGAGGTTCTAATGTACAGATCCAGTACGAGAATAGCTGAACCTCACAGTTGTACTATAATCAGGGGACTGTGTAAATGAGAACTCATCAGAAATACTGAGGAAACACATGAGGTTCTAATGTACACATCCAGTATGAGAATAGCTGAACCTCACAGTTGTACTATAATCAGGGGACTGTGTAGTATTATGCATTTTAAAACATCAGAATCTGATCAACTAGAATTACTGTGAATTATCAAATGGAGGAATAGGAAGACTTAGCTGATGCTGATGGAGAGATCAACACTGTTGTGATCAATCAGACAGTGTGTGTGATGGCTGAAGCCACACAGACACATTCTCTCACAGTTCTAATCACTACAGATGTTCTCTTGTGTATCAGGAAATCAGGCACGAACCAAAAGTGTCTTGTGTTATTGTTAAGGTTTTAATGTTTTAGAATCTATAAAGTGTATTTGGTAAATTTTTATCCTTACATTTCTTAGCTGGCATAAGGACAATGTCACAGTGGTATCATCTAAGAGTGAGCTTCTATCTCGATCTTGCCCAAAACTTTCACCATCTTCAAAGAGAAAACTAAGATTTAAAAGAAGGAAGAAAGAGTTGTTATAATGATCACAGAAAATCTATTTTATTTCTTCTACAAATAAAATTTTCCTATCAAATCCCATTACTAAGAAGAAATAAAATTCAGACTAGACAGTTAATTTTGAAAACAAAGCCCAACATGGTTGGTATCCAAGCCTGGATCCCAGTGCTTGGAAAGTAGAAGCAGGGGCATCAGGAGTTTGGAGACAGACAGGTATATAGTGTGTTTAGTTCTAGCATGAGATCTTGTCTTAAAAAGACAAAGTTTTCAAAAACTGTAACTGCTAGTTGAAGTTTCTCCAAACAAAGGTGGAGTAAGTAAGTATGTATGTATGTATATCTGTTGATTAGTTATAAATCTGGTATATGCTGTGCTGGTTAGTTTTAACTGTCATTTTGATACAGTCTAGAGTTATCTAAAAGCCCCCGTTGAAAAACTGCCTAGATAGGATTGGCATGTGGTATGTCTGTGGGAGACTTTGTTAACTGATGCAGAATTGCCTAGCTCAGTGTGGGAGGTATCACTAGGCAGGTAGCCATGAACTGTGCAAGAAAGCTAGCTGAATATAAGCTAGACTTCAAGCCAGCTGGAAAATGGCATCTTTCATGCTTCCCTCTGTACGTCTTGGCTGTCGAGTGAGTTTTCTGGTCAGAGGTGATGCTGCACCTTCAACTTTCTTCCCTGAGTTCCTGCCTTGACTTCCTCAGTGAAGCACTGTGACTGCAAGCTAGAGTAACCTTGGCTCCTCTAAGCTGCTCTTGCTCAGGGTATTTGTCATAGGAACAGATGAAACTAGAATACATACACAGCACTGCAGGATACAAGTGTGATTTGCAGTCTGTCTTCAGGCATGTGCAGCAGTAAATGACTGTCTTAACAGTATTTAAATGTGTGCCTGAGAAAATTTGTGCAGGTGAACTAAAAGGGGAGGAAGAAAAGCACACTGGTTGACAGGCTCTCAGAGCAATAACAACAAATGCTTGGAACTTGATTTAGAATTTCAAAAGCCTACTTTTCAGAATCTATTATTCAAATCATTTTTAATTTTCTATAATTTATTTCTGATTTTATATTTAACTCAATGGGTGAGTGGCACAATAGAAATTAATGTCTAAGAAAAACTGCTTGTAAAGGGCAGAAAGCTAATAATGAAGTTTAGTAACAGAATACTTGCCTCACCCCAAGTGCAAGGACCTGGCTTTGAAAACCAGTACAAAAATAAAAAGGAAAATAAGAAAAATTTAAAACAGGGAAAGCAGAAAACTAATGGTTTATCTAAATAAACAATCCAAAAGTTTAGTAAAAAGTGATTACCAGATAATTTCTACTGTTACTTCTTATGGTGGTTTGAGTGAGAAATTTCCCTCATAGGCTCCTATATTTGAACCCCTGGACCTCAGTGGAGCTGCCTAGGAAGGTTAGGGCACCTTTAGGAGGTGCAGCCGCACTGGAAGAAGTGCATCACTGGGGGCTCTAAGGTCTTATAGCCTTATGCTACTTCCTGGTTTGTTTTTTTTTCCCCCTTCTCTCTTTGTCCCTGTGTGCAAATGAGACTGTGGCCTCTTTGTTTCCTGCTATCATTCCTTCCAGCCATTAGAGACTCTCCCTCTGGAACTGTAAGTCCAAATAAACCCATTTTCTACAGATTGGTTTTTGATCATGGCATTTTATCACAGCAATAGAAAAGTAACCGATACACACCTATGGTTAAATCTATCCTAGAGTATGAGACTGGAATCAGAAAGGTCAAGAAATACACACTGATGTTTCTACATGAACAGTGATGTTATCCGTATTTGGAAATTAACTGATAATATACACTTTTTATTAATATTACATGATTTTCAAATAGATAACAAAGCAAATTATTTCTTTTTTCTTTTCTTATTATTTTAATTAGAAAGAAGATTATTTTACATGTTAATCCCAGGTCCCTCTCCTTCCC